ATTGTATAAGTATGAGTTTTGTATTTTATTAAAAACAAAACAAACAACAACAAAACAAACAAAAAGCCTCTCTCAGTACCCGTTTTTTTCATCAAAAGTAGAAAAACAGAATGCAAGCCCCTAGAGAGCTCTCGATTTTTCTCATATCTGGCCCACTTTTATCTAGCAACTGCAGGTATTTGTGTTTGTGATCCCTAATCTAGTCCAAAACCTTATCTTTTACAAATATGAAAGCCAAGGACCCAGGGAGTTTAAGCGGCCATCTGAGGTCATAAATCTTGTTAGTGGCAGAGGCTGTATCCACATGCAGGTCTGTTTCCCCCTGTTTGTGTTTCCATTTGTCCATCTGCCTCTTTCTTTCTAAATGAATTAGCTAATATGGGTTCACTTCATGTTCCAGAGAGAAAAGCAGAGACAAGGAGAAGTGAATCAGCTGCAAAACAGCAGCACAGAGGGTCGCTGTGGACATGAGAGGACTGTAAGGGGCAACCCATCGTTAGTGCTAGGATTCCTGGTAACTTAGGCTGCCTGCATCTCCATATCGCCACAGGTGAAGCTTCAGGAACAATGCCCTCTCCCATCAATTGCTCCATTTTATTTGTGTTTAATTGCCCCCTTTCACAGCTAATTATTTTTTTCCTAACATGTTTCCTAACTTGCTTGATTAAATAAAATGGTGACATGGGCAACAAGAATGTATAACACACCACCTAGAGAGAATAAATTGGAGAAAGAAAAAGCAGAAGGGAAACTGAGGATGTTTCTACTGACCCAGGTTCCTCTACAGACACTCTTTTGAAGTGTTCTATTTCCCTGATGCAATGAGATTGTTCTTGGTGCCAGGTATGAATGCATTATTAAAAACAAGTGTGAGGCAGACGGCAGAGTCTCCAGGGAGCACAGTGTAGTAGGTTTGGTCGCACTGTCCTTTGTGTTTCCAGAACCCCAGACAGGCGGCTATTTTGACTCCTGTCACACTGCTGCATATATTTGATTACTTGCCTTTCCTCCCCACTGTCCAGCATCCTATCAACTGAGCTTTCCAGGAAAAGGCCCCTGTCAGGCAGGCATCTCTGTATGCCAGCACTTAGCTTGCTGTCTGCTAGGTCCTGCCAGCCTGCTAGATTAATGTGTCACTTAGTGCAATGAACAGAATAATGTCCCCCGCCCCCCAGATGTCCACATACCAATCCCTGGAACCTGTGAATGATACCTTATATGGCAAAAGAGACTTTGCAGATGTGATTAAAATAAGGATCTTGATATGGGGGGATGATCCTGCATTATCAGGATGGGTCTAATGTAATCACAGGGTCCTTATAGAAGGAGGGGAGAGGGTGAAACTCAGAAAAAAGAGATATGGCAATGGAAGCAGAGTTCGGAGTCCTGCACTTTGAAGATGGAAGAAAGGAGCACAAGCTAGGGAATGCTGGGACCTGGAAAACCAAGGAAATGGTCTGCCCTGAAGCTGCAGAAAGAATGCTGGCACCGTGGTTTCAGACGTCTGACCTCCAGGATTACAAGGGAATAAATTCGTGTGGTTTTAACTCCTTGAATTGCTACAGCAGCCATAGGAAACTACTACACTTATGTAAACAAGGAAATGAATAAATGTCATTTGAATGGATAAACGAGCAAATCAAGGAATGACTGAATATGGACAGTTTTAGATAGAAAGTAGAAAGGCTTCTGTTTAGATCCCAACTTAGATAATAACCAGAGGATAACTTGGGCCCCATCGTTTAATCTCTCTACAATCCCTCAGCATGAAGAGCTGAGGCTGTGGAGCCAGCCAGCCAGACTGGGGTTTGAATCCCTCCTAGGCTACTCCCAGGCTGTGCATCCTTGGGCAGGCACGTAGCCCTCTGAGCCCAGGTCCATGTCACTAAGATGGGAATAGTGACCAGTACCTCCTGTGTGAATTTATATAGGGACTGAATGAGCTACAATCTAGTCACATTCACTGGGACTCTGAACTAGGTAAATCTGAACTCATGGTCACATAAAAATATTATTAATGTCACTTCATGCAGAAACCTTGAAATCATATAAATTCTCCAAATTAAAAAAGTCGAGAACTGCACAGCTGTGCAAGGGCAGAGCTGATAAACTGTAAACCACCAACCAGTGGGTCCGCTTCACCTGCTGAACACAAATACCCACTGTCCTTTGAGAGAATCCGCGTTGAATTATGCAAGTTATAAGTTATGCCAGTCACAAGTTGGGAGAGGTCTTCAGGAACACACCCCTGAACAAAGTACAGCCACCGTTTAATGCGTGCAATTCAGTGAGCGCAGGCCTGGAGCACAGAAAGCTATGACTCTGCGGGTACCACGTTAGCTCGATGACAAAGCCTCAGAGCAAACGTCTGCAGTGGAAAATGAAACCAGCTCCCTCTTTCCCATGGGCCTCGGCTTTGCATGGGCCTCTGGCTCCTGTCAGACAAATCGTGCTGCTGGAAAATCTGAATCAGGTGTGTTAATAACACCCCACATTATGAAGCAATAAATCTCCCAGCTCCTATCCGAACCACAAAATTTGACTTGAGGAAGGTGTCAACTATGTGCTCCACTAGGATCAGCACGCCCATCTTGTACGCATCTATTTTGCTGCTATAAGCCATGCTTAGGGTACCAGAGTTTGTGAGCTGACGGGGACCTCCCTGGGCCTCAGTGATGGCCAGCAAGATTTCTCCTTCCCTTCTCTCCCTTCCCATTTCTTGAATCCCCGGAGAACAGGCTGCACCTAGTACATACCTCAAGCTCAGTAAACATCTGTTGAAGGTATAAATGACCTTACAGGCGGCGGGACCCATGTCCGTCTCCTATTTTCCACATAAGGAGCCTGAGGCCAGTTAGAACGATGAATGGAAAATCCCCTCCATGTTGTATTAGTTCAAGTGATTTACTGCCTTCCCCCTAGAGGGAGGCACTGCGCTCCCAACCCTAATGGGCTGGGTTATACAGAGGAAATTGGTTTGAAACACACTTGTTAAAGTGCATCTGTTTTTTCTAAGTAGCTTCCAGTTTCATAAAATAAAGTCTGGTGATGTTAAATGTCTACACCACAGACTTGGCCAGTAAGCGGTGGAGAGACTGGAATATTATCAAAAGAAAGCAGAAGCCTGATGAGCAGCGAGGAGGTGTTTGGGAAAAGCACAAGCCTGGTGCCGAGTTCTCAGGTCTAACTCAGACCTCACGTGACCAGTGCAGGGAGCACACGACTCATGTTTCAGATTCATATGACTCTGTATGAAGGCAACACAGAACCACTTTCTGCAGAATCAAGCCTCCTCCCCACCCCACCCCCCTTTTTATTTATACCTCAATTTTCCACCAAAGCAGATGCAATACCTAGGAAAAGCTCAGGGACAGGAGGACTTACAGCCACATCCTAACTACAGGTGACCTCACGTCAAGAAAAGTGGACCCTGCGTTCCCCAGATAAAAACCATCCCTCATGAAGATTTTCTCAAGAAATGGATTTTTATGCTTTATTTATTTTCTTTTTTAAAATATATCTTTATTGATTTCAGAGAGAGGAAGGGAGAGGGAGAGAGAGAGAAACATCAATGATGAGAGTCATTGACCGGCTGCCTCCTGCACGCCTCCTGCTGGGGATCGAGCCCGCAACCCGGGCTTGTGCCCTGACCGGGAATTGAACCCTGATCGCCTGTATACTAGATTGATACTCAACCACTGAGCCACGCCCGGCCGGGCTCATGCTTTATTTTTAATCCTCACCTGAGGATATGTTTTTTGTTTTTGTTTATTATTATTGAGTTGAGAGAGAGAGGAAAGAAAAGGAAGAGAGAAAGAGAGAGGGGGAAACATCAATCGGCTGCCTCCCGCATGCACCTAGGCCAGGGATCAAACCCGCGCCCCTGTGGTGCATGGGACAACCCTCCAACCAACTGAGCTGCCCCATGAACCAGGGAAGCTGGTGTGAGGTCACTTGTACCCGCTGGGCTCCTACGTTTGCCTCCCAGACCACTTCCTTTAGCCGGCAGACACCAAGTGCTGCCCAGGGATTGATTACCTCAAATTTCGGCCCACTTCCTTGCCTATCTTAGCTTTTTTAGCTCTCTGTGCATAGTTGCGCAATAGATATTGGGTCTCTATTTGTGATTTTAAGGCATTTTCAACAGAAGTCCTCTATTTATATAGAAGGAGTACCTGTGCTCTCTCTGCTGTATCTCTCTTCCCACCTGCCAGAGCCTTCCCATCTGTGTGGCCAACTGGGTCATACTCAGTCCTGCTCTCCAGCCTCGTACCTTTACTAGCGTTAAAGAGCCACAGGATTAGGGCTCCTGGAAGATGACAACCTGTTACTGCATTGACCACTTACTCTCTTTGGACCTCTTTAGAGTCCACATTGCCCAGGTGCAAGGCCACCCCCAACCACACAGCACAGGAGCATGACCTCATCCAGCTCTCCCGAGCACCCTCGGTCTCATCGTCAGCCTCATCCTCTCACCAGGCCATTATCTGGTTACCCTGAGCTTCTTAGTTTCCATGAGCCTGCCGTGCAAATGCACCCCTGCACCCAGCCAGGCCCCCCTCTGCCTCTGATGTCCTCCCTCTTGTTCTCTCTTCCTCAGGCCCCCTTAATGTCAAACCTCTCTTGGAGAGTTTCCTTAACTCCCAGACCGGGTGAGTGGCTCCCTGCCCTGTGTCCCGGGGAATGCTATAGCTACCTCTCTTAGAGCCCTGACCACAGAGTACTGAGATATTATTAGGGGTCTCTCGGTTTCACTGCAAACTTACTTCTTACATCTTCCTTCAACCAAATCTACAATCCTTTTCAAAGTAGGAGTTCAAAAAATACGTGAGTTAAATAAATGCGCACAGGATTTCTCAAAAAGAGGTAACAGTACGGCTCCCAGCACTGGGGTCACGCCCAGACTTGTTTGTTTGTCTCTGAATTAGGGACAGCAGAGCTACAGACACAGGAACAACAGGCTGCCCAGTACCCAGTCAATAGCAAGCAGCGTGGTGTACCTGATAGGCCGTTATATTAACAGTGTCTTCCTTTCTCTGCTCGGGAGGCCCTTGACTCTGCAGTAGATTTCGTACTGTTTCTTCCATCCTGAAAAACAAAAAAAACAAACGAAGAAATTCTTTAAAGGTTTCCTATTAACATGAGTCTATTCCCCTTAGCAGAAATCAGTCTTCAGTGTATATTTCCTAAGCTTAAGCCTGAAAAACCTCCTCTCTCTTCCTTGCCTTCATCCCCTATATCGTGAATGTGTCATGAAGTCCTTCAAAGTCTGTCTTCGGAAGGTCTCTGGGTTTCTCCATCTCTTTACCATTCAGGACCCTGTCTCTGGCCTCCTGCATCTGTGCTCATGCAAATATCTCCCAACGCCCTCTTCACTTTCCACTGCTCCCCTTGAATTTGACACGACGTCACCACATTCATCTTCCTGAAATACCACTTTCATTTTTTAAAATCAGTTTTCAAAGTTGACATATATTACATAAATCCATTTTCACCATTAATATACTACGATGTCTTCTTTCCATGGTGGTCACTCTATGTGGGCACACAGAGACCTACTATATCCGTCTCAGTTATTCTGAGTATTTCATGATGTGACTGCACCATCAATTGTTTAATCTTTCCCCTACTGACAGAATTTAAGTCACTTCAAAATGTTTACTATTTCAAACAATCTTTACACATACATCTTAGTGCACATTTATGAGTATTTCAATAGTTATATGATGACATATATTGTATGTTATAATCCTATTTTGTATTAAATACCCACCTCCAATGCCCACTCCTACCCCTGCATGGCCCCAAAGTAAAGAGTGAAACAAACACACCTGTTTCTAGTTCCAGACATTGTCTCATGCTGTTACTACTACTTAAAATGCCCACACCCTTTTATCTTCTCAAATCCCATCCATCCTTCAAAATCCACCTCAAGTTTTACTTCCTAAGAGGACTGTTTCACTGGTTCCTCATGTCTTTGAATTCTTATAGCCCTATATGTTAAATCAATCATGCTATTACTTAAAAACTCCCCAATGTAAATGCTCAAATATTTCATGTATGCTTGTCTTATCTTCTGAAGTAAATTAAAATATTTGGTATAGAACCATTTCATAATTTCTTATGTGTCTCCCCAATTATGCATAAAGTAGTATTCGGTACACATTATTACATGAATCCTTTTTTAATTTATTTTAAAAAGTCTGAAGTATTTACACTTTGTCAGGCATTCACTATGTGCACTCAAACTGTGTTTGAATGACCTCGTCCTCGGGGCCCATCCATAAGGATCCAGGGACAGAACTCCGAGAGCAGGATGCCTGAACTGTGGCATGAACCTGGGCTCTCCTGCCCAGAGCCTGAGTTGGCTGTCTCTTCCAGGCCCATCTTGAAGCACGTGGTTTGGTGGCTCAGTGTGATACTAGTTTAAGACAGACAGCAGGCTGACGCAGCTTCTCTCTCCTGCTCAGGGCTTCTAGGATGGCACACTAAGGGCTCTAGGAGGCCCACAAATTACAGCAACCAAGGCAGTGTAGTGCAAAACGCCAACCTTTCTAATACGTTATATAACTACTGAGCAGCAGGGTGAGGAACCTGCAGATGAGCTAGTCCAGTCCAAGCCTGGACTATGACTGGGGAATTCACAGGGGATAGCACCAGGACCCACTCAGGATTTCAACAAGACATGGACACCGATCATGACTGGTTAGGGAATGATGTGTGACCGCACATTTATACATTTATATAAGCCATCTCTTCACACATCCAGCCAGGAAAACAAAATCTGTTTCCCATATTTTCACAAAGCTTATGTTAGTAATAATCATAACTCAAAATGAAATAGTACGTTTACCTTGTCAAAGAACTCTTCCATCTATCCTTCATTACAATGTACTTTAAAATTATCACTGTATCTGTGTAGTAGATGAGAAAGCTGAGGCAACAGGAAAATTAAATGGCTTACTTAAAGGATCATGGTTAGCTGAGTGGGAGTTAGGATTAAACCATGTTTACTGACTTTAAAAATAGGAGCCTCTTTCCACAGGAACTTATGTACACGCAGGGAAATTATTTTATTTATTTTTATTTATTTATTTATTAATTATAGAGAGAAAGGAAAGGGGGGAGAGAGAGGGTAACACTGATTTGCTGTTCCACTTATTTATGCATCATTGGTTGATTCTTGTATGGGCCCTGACCGGGGATCAAACCCTCAACCTTGATGTATGGGAACGACCCTATAGCCAACTGAGCTACCTACCTGGCCAGGGCCTGCAGGAAAACGATTTTAAATAAAGCAGAGTCTTAAGTCCTGATTAGGATTTATTTTGGTGAACACTTACTGGATGCCGAAGGCAACAGTATTGTTTCTGACCTGAGGAGAACTTAATATCTGGTGGAAGAGACAAACCAAGTTTATGTGGAAGAAATAAGTGTGAAAAAGTCACAAATTCTGAAATAAAAACTGATCAGAGCCCATTTCTAATACTCTCTGTCATTATATATAAACAGAAACAATCTCTTGAGCGCTAGTGGATTTCCCTTGATGTGCTAACCCTCTCATAAGCCAGAGGAGCCATGATAAGGGAGATGACTGGCCCCATCTCACTGGGCCCTGCCGCGCAGATCCGGGGCGAGCCGCTGTGCTCGCAGTATTGGCCCACCGCCTTCCTGCCTCAGCACAGACGCTGCAGTTCTTTCTTATTTCAGTCTTTGTTTCATTCAGTTACAGGATTCAGCATAAAGGTGGCTCAAAAGTTAGAACTCAGTTAAAGTGAAAATCTTGCCTTTTTTAAGAAACAAGTTAAAATACAATTCTGTGAGCATGCATATTGTGCTGAATTATACCTATAATCAGAAGTTCTGTGCACAAATGGCTGAATCAAAAAGAAAAACAACATCTCTTCACCTTTCCCCCAATTTTCTTGGCTTTTGCCTTTTAAAAAAGGAAAATGTGGGGTGGACAGACAGTTGTTAAAACAGAATCTCAGGGTCTCACTGTGATTAATTAATTAAAATTAAAGCCAGTTACATTTCCAAGCTACCACTTGGCACAGGGTTACAGGGACTGATCCCAACACTTGGTAGAAATTTAAGTTGTCCGTCTCTTCATAACCTCTATGAATACGGTCACAGGGAAAATATTTGAACCTGATGAGACTATACCATTATTTATTCCCTGATAACATCTTCTTTTTTTAAAATTCTCATTCAGCAAACTTCTCTATTTATTTTCCAGAAAATCAAAGACTGTGTAGCATCAGCCACTGTCATCTGAGTGCCCAGTGACATTTTACTTCGTTTTGTTATTTTGATAGCTGAGGTGTATGGTTTGCATCACCAGTCTGCACACAGAATAATTCTACCATCTGTTCCCCAAATGTGACTAAAAATCAGTCAATTCCTTTCTCCGGGTCAGGCGTGGGCAGAGGAGTTGTTTTTGGTTTAAGTTGCTGATTGGTGCAATTTATCCTTAAACACTGACCTGAAATAATGTCTTCCAGTTCTTCTTTTCCTATTGTCAAATTTGAGTCTAAATCCTTTCTTCCCCTAACTACTGGGTAAGTAGCTGTTATAACTAAAAATATATAGGCCTAAATTATACTTAGTAAAATATATTTTCTAATGCATATTAGTAAACTATTTTTAAAAAGTTAAGACCTACATGAGTCAGAAAAATAAACCAAATTCATATGCAAATTTATATGCAAAAAAAATAAACCAAATTCATATTTCAGGTAACATAGATATAAATGCAGCTATTTTATTTTATTAAAAATAGATTCATGTTTTAAGGAACATATCATTTAAGAAAATTATTATTATAGTAGTTCATTTGGGACAAGCAAAAAGAACCTTAAACACAGTCTTTGCTTAAAAAGGGCACTAACTTAGTTAGGAAAATTGGACATTAAATAAGAATGCATTAAAACAACAAACAAGCAAACAATTCAAAACTACCCAAGAGCAGGATCAGTGAGGCTTTGAACCAAAATTCTCTTCCCTGGGCCCCCTCTGTCAGCACCCCCTTGTAAAGAATAGATCACTGGGGTGCTTGTCATTGAATCTGTACCCAGTGTCTCCCAGAGAGGGTCTTCCCAGACACCAAAGGAAGATCTTTCTGGAAGTAAATGTTAAGGTATAGTAGTTTCCCAAATCGTTTCCAGGCAGGAAACGTTACCATTCAGGGCCTGATAAGAACAGGTTTCTCTAACATAGGAGACTATGACTTGGGCCTCCAGATCTTGTCTTCTTCAATAATGGAAGTACTATCAGGAAACAGATCCCAGGCCACATGAAGAGCCGCCTGTCCTAAGAGCATGGGAAGGGATGCGGACTTTCCCCTTCTTCTCCTTCCTCCACAGGTCCAGCCCTCTCTTTCGCCTAATGCCACTCTAGGAAATCACCGGAATATTAGACAGAAATATTCTTTGACTCCCATGATCAGATACTCAGTTTAGCACAACTTTATTTTTGACAGAAATAGAACAAAACAAACACAAAACAAGAAGCTACTCTCCCCAACTCAAACTGGTAACAGATGGGCTCTTGCAGCTAAAAGCTAAACGGAGTCATCTTTTAAAGAAATATTTTAACATGTTATGTGCTGATTACTCACATAAACCTATAATAAGATTAACAATGAAATTACTCAATATTCCCTCGGATGTCTTCTTGAGAGGCCACAAGGCCACCTGCTCTGAAAGTGTAAGGCACAGTCCCCTGTCCACCTTCACTGAGAAGTCTGTGAGGAGCTGCTGCTGGATCTGCAAGCTGCTTTTCCGTGTGTTTCCCTGCATTCGACTCCCAATCTGCTCCCTTAGAGAAAGTGTGTCAACTTAAGCAAGGGCGCCACCACGACTGAACTTCATTTTAAGGACAGAAAGAAAGGGAATGGGTTTAAAATAGAAGGAAGGTGGGGGCCTGAGTACTGCAGCGCCTCTCCTTCACCTTGAGCCTCCCTATGAAGAAATCACAGCAGGACATGACCCCACATGGAGAGCACGACTCATCCCGCAAGGTCCACGGCCATAATGAGGACAAGCATCCTCCCGTGTGTGCTGAGAGAGAGAAAAATAGTTACAATA